TGTGAAAGCGAAACTACTTTGTTTGGCCTTCCAAAAGAGGACGATATCGCTTCGTCATGCCTGGAGCTGATCCGTGCTGGTCGCTGAGGAAATACTTCAACTTTGCACTGTGGATCGCCGGATCGGCTTTCACCGTGGACGAAGCGGAGTCCAGCCCGGGGTCGTCACATGTGGTTGCTGCAGGCATCACAATATAGTAAAGGACGGAACATTTCTGTCACACGCTTGAGGAATTCAGCCAATCACAACGCACTGGATAGCTGGCCAATCAGAGCACACCTCGCTTTTTCAGACTGATAAGCTTTGTAAAAATCAACGTGTTTCAGAAAGGCGGGGAATAGAGGAGAAACAATAATGTACAGTATGTGGAAAATAATGTGTTTTTTGAACCTTAAACAGCATAAACACATTTCATTACACCAAATACACAAAATAATGTTCTTTTTAGCAGCATCATATGACCCCTTTAAATGAATGCCTTACTGACTCATCAATAATGTTTCATATAATTAATATTATTATTTCATATATAATATTAAATTTTTTTGGTTTTGGTTGATCATTAGTGAAATGATTTTTGCTCATTCAGCTGATTTTGCAGGTTTCGATGCTTGTGCGCTTGGGCACAACTGCCAACATATTTGTGTCAACAACAACGCCTCTTATTTCTGCGAGTGCAGAGAGGGATATGTTATCAACTCTGACAAGAAAACGTGCTCTAAGCAGACCAATGGTTTGTCATAAAAATATGCATCAAATCATTTGAAAAATTCGATGCATATCGTAAAGAATATTTTTTTTGATGCATTCTGAAGAAATGCATCCAGTAACTTTTGTGCACAGAAATGCTTTTTGGCTCAAACTATAAATGCCATATAAAAATGCCATTGAAATCAGACATTTTATCTGAATTATGAATCATTTAAATAAGTATGTGTTTAATGAGATAAAGTGTGCTCTGGAATGTTTATGTTTATGTGCTCTAATAGTTTGTTTTTAAAATTGTCATTATATATGCAGTGATAATTTTATGTCAATGATGTAGGCTATAAATTGAGGAGTGAAGGAAAGATTTGTAGCATTTTCAGTACACAGTAAAACACGTCTGTAGGATTCAGTTTAAAAAATGTGTCCTATAAGGTGATTAGAGAATTAGAACTACAAATACCATGAACGCCTTAATCAAACATCATTTCCGGGTTTTGGTTACCTAGAAACCAAGCAAACCGTTTTACAGGAGCGTACATGCATGGGACGTACACCGAAAATTCAAGTGCCCTGAAGAACGGATTTATTAAACATTTAATTTAAAAGAAGACAACGCTGAAATCCAAAAAAGTATTCGGGACTAAAAAACTTTTAGCACCCCCCCTAAAAACCGAGAGAAAATTGGTTCATAACGCTGAGGCAGGCTAGCAAGCTAAGCTAAAGCAAAGATGTTTATTTATCTCAGTAAGAAGGTAATCGTGAAATATTGCATTATAACTGTATTACTGCTAGCATTATAACAACATTGCTGCTAACTTATATTAATATTTTCTCTGATTGAACGCGGGTTTGTTTATCAGGTTTACTGTTAGTAATTTTCAATTGCTTTTCTTAAAAAGTCGTTTTAATGATAATGACAGCTGTTTCTGCGTATACAACTTATTTATCAGGGCCGTTGGCTTTGTTGTGTGTCCTCAGATTGCGATTCCAAACAATACCGTTTTAAAGTGTGTGTCTTGGAATAAAGACCAAGGTTTCATCGCCTGTGGAGGAGAGGATGGGCTTTTAAAAGTTCTCAAACTTGAGACTTATACAGGTGTGAACCTGGAACTGCCAGTATTTCTGTAGTGTTTTCTGTGCCAATATATACAAAATATGAGCACCAATGTGAATTGTTTACTTCTATATATTCAGCATAGATGTTTGAATGAAGTTATCATCAGTCAACCAATAGTTAATTACATTTATTTTTCTTAGATGATGCCAAACTGAAAGGCTTGGCAGCTCCCAGCAACCTCTCTATGAATCAGACACTGGAAGGACACAGTGGTAAGAACGATAGAGGAGATGTGTCAGCTCAGTGTCTATGCGTTTTGTTTTAGTGTTTGTGTGTTCTGACTCTCTGAGTTTTAATTTTGCAATGCAGGTGCAGTGCAGGTTGTGACTTGGAATGAACAATACCAGAAACTGACCACCAGTGACCAGAATGGGCTCATTATTGTCTGGATGCTTTACAAAGGTACACAGTCTTTTAACAAACCATATAGAAAATACACTGATTATGCACTTTTTTTATGTGTGCATGTGCAACCGTGTGTGACACTTTTTTTTGTGATTTTGTGTCGTCAAACAGGTATGCGTTTTGTTTTAGTGTTTGTGTGTTCTGACTCTGAGTTTTAATTTTGCAATGCAGGTGCAGTGCAGGTTGTGACTTGGAATGAACAATACCAGAAACTGACCACCAGTGACCAGAATGGGCTCATTATTGTCTGGATGCTTTACAAAGGTACACAGTCTTTTAACAAACCATGTAGAAAATACACTGATTATGCACTTTTTTTATGTGTGCATGTGCAACCGTGTGTGACACTTTGTTTTGTGATTTTGTGTCGTCAAACAGGTTCATGGTATGAAGAAATGATTAATAACAGGAATAAATCTGTGGTGAGGAGCATGAGCTGGAATGCTGATGGTCTGAAGATCTGTATTGTGTACGAGGACGGTGCTGTGATTGTGGGCTCGGTGGATGGTGAGCACAGGACTGTTTTTATTATAATTATTATTTAATTTTATATTAAATATATTATTTTTAAGTCAAAACACTACAGGCAAACCCTTTTTTTATACACCGGACAAATTTGTGATTTTGTGTTTTTTGTGTTTCATAACGTTGTTTAAGACTAGTGGAAAGAAAACATCCAAAATACACTTAGCACAATAAAAGAGTTTTTAGTTAAATTAGATTTACATGCACTTTATTCATTTGTGTCTGTAGATTTCAATTACACTATCCTGCTGTTTACAGAACTGGCTTTACTGACAAGATGCGCATTAAATATCGCATGCGATTTATCATGCAGCCCTAATCTTTAGATATCTTTAAAGGCCATTGTCTCAAAATTAGTTTGTTTCTCCTGCACTGAGCCAGAAATCTCCACTTCAGTAGCACTCACATACACTAGATTATATTCTGAAGTTTTTTAAAGAGAGGTTTGTTCATATATAATTTTTATTTTTTTATGCAACATTTTATTCCTAAAGACATTTATTCCTGAATTATTTTTCTGGCTGTAACAGTATTTTTTTAATTAAGAAATGATAAAAAGAGATATACAAAATCCCATCTGTAAAAAAAAAATTTTTTTGAACTCTTAACATCAAACAAACAATCAAACAAGAATTTTAAACCTGGCTTGTCCAATGCTAAGATTTCTGTTCTGGAAATGCATACAAATTAGAACATATTTAAATAGACAATTTATCATTTGCATATATTAACATAACAGTTAAGAAAACTTGTAATACAAAATTTGCAATTCTTAATGTAATCAATCAACTGGCGAAGTGTGGTGATATCTATTAATTTTTTTATCCTATTCACCTGGTGTTTTACATTTTTGTAAGTATTTTGTTATAATATAAAATTATTTTATTATTTATTAAAAAGCAACAAATCCATCAAGACATAGGTGTTTGTTGTTTTATTATATAGTTTTGACTTTTCATCTTGTACATTTTATTTGTGTGAATATAAATGTGTGTGTTTGTTTTGTGATCTTGCAGGGAACAGGATCTGGGGTAAAGAGCTTAAGGGGACCCAGTTGGCACATGTGGCCTGGTCTCCAGATAGTAAGATCCTGCTGTTTGGGATGGCCAATGGAGAGATCCACATCTACGACAACCAGGGAAACTTCATTGTGAGTGCTGAGACACTGGAAACACTCTCTGTTCATCATTGTGTCTTTAGTCAGCTACTTCTACTAGTTTTCCTCTGGGGTCCTGAGGACGTTTTTCACTTTTATCCAGTCAGTTTGAGTAGTACTGCTATTAAAAACACAAATTTGCTCTTATTGTGTGTGTTTATGCCCAGATGAAGATGACCATGAGTGGTTTGGCGAATGCAGCAGGTTCCCTCAGTATATCAGGTATTCACTGGTACCCCGGAACAGAGGGGTATCTGGAACCAGACTGCCCCTGCCTAGCTGTTTGCTTCACTAACGGGCACTGCCAAGTGATGAGGCACGAGAGTGATGACAGTGAGTTTATGCATTTCTTTATCTCTCTTTGTGCATGCTAAGTGACATACATTCTAGTACAGATCTGAGTAAGATTGTGTGTGCGTATGTGTGCAGGTCCTGTGATCATCGAGACGGGTATGTGGCATGTGGCCAGTATCCAATGGAATCACTGTGGCAGTGTTCTAGCTATAGCAGGATCACTCAGAAACAGCGGAGCAGAGAAAGACGTAAATCTTGTTCAATTCTACACACCGTTTGGAGAGGTGAGTACTGATCACACACATGCTTCATACAGACACATTTCAGGTTCTACAAAGATAATACTGTATATCTTGTCATACACAATTGTTCGCAAGTTTGGGGTCGGTAAGACTTTTGTAATGTTTTTGAAAAAGTCTCTTAAAAGTACAGTAAAAACAGCAATATTTTGAAAGATTATTACAAATATGAATAACCTGTTTTCTATTTTAATTTATTTTACAATGAAATTTATTCCTGTCGTGGCAAAGCTGAATTTTCAGATGAATGTCTTAATTCGATTTGTGTTTACTTCGAGTATGACTTTCTGAATTCTTAATCAGAGTATTGTCTTAATCATGTTAAAATCGGAATATTGTTGTCCATGTAAATGTACTCACTTTTACTGTTGATGCACTTATGTCTGATGTCATCACGTGTCTAGCACTTGCGGACTCTGAAGGTTCCGGGCAAGCAAATGACTGCTGTATCATGGGAAGGTGGAGGACTCCGAATTGGCCTAGCTGTAGATTCTTACATTTATTTTGCTAACATTCGGCCAGATTACAAGGTAATTTAGCTGTAAATAATGGCTATAAAATATATATTTTTTTCCTCTCTGTGATAACATCTTACTCTGTCTCTGTAGTGGGGTTTCTGCAGTAACACAGTGGTGTATGCATACACACGGCCTGATAGGCTGGAGTACAGTGTGGTGTTCTGGGACACTAAGAATAATGAGAAGTTTGTAAAATACGTCAAGAGTCTCATGTCCATCACCACCTGTGGAGATTTTTGCATTTTGGCCACCAAAGCGGACGACACACATCCACAGGTACTAAAACAGGGATCTGTTCAGCTTTTCTTCTGATGAAGAGGGATATTGTAAGTTAGAATATTGTTTTAAATCAAATCAAAAGTCATATCTGTGATTTGATCAAATTCTATGTTTTTTTTTCAGGAGGACACTGACACTGAGGCTGGATCAGCTACGGTAAAGACACCTCTTATATCCCAATGTAGTAAAAAGCTATGAAATATTTCCATATGCACTCTGATCACAGACACCAGAAAGTTACAGACAGGAGAGATTTAACAATAATACGTGACTGTAGCTGTTTTCATTGACCATGAGAAACCTGATCAAACATACAGATGTGACTGTATTATGACATTTTACAAAGTAAGAACTAAACAACTAATAGCAACTCTGAACCAGGTCTACGTTCAGTAGGACAGAGGACAGTGGAAAGACAATGTAATGTAGAATTTAATTATGTT